CAGAAGGAAGCCTCAATCATAAAAAGCCTAAACTCTTCGAATATTTTCCCATACTGATAACCCCTTGAGTAGATAGAATCTGGGGTATATGGGGATCTGATTTACAATATACCCAAAGCCATACTCTATCTACTAGACTAGTTATAAAACCTCTTAAAAGAATCAGCACCACAAGTGGCAAGGAAGAAAGCCTCTGGCCCAATCCGAAGCCGCCCATCGGCAACTTTGAGGACCCAGGCCTGCTCCGGAAAAAATAGGCTCACGGTTTAGGGGTTTAGGGGTATAGGGTTTAGGATCTAGGGTTCAGGGTCTAAGGTTTAGGGCTCAGAATCTAGGATTTAAGGTCTAGGATTTAGGGCTTAGGGTTTAGAATCTGACATTTACTGTTCAGGGCTTAGAATCTAGGATTTAGGGTTCAAATGCTTCAGGGGTACTGCCCCCACCAGGGAACAGTCGGTCCAATGGGGGTTTACCTTTCTGGAGCGTACCTTTCGGTAACACTAAGGAATAATGTACTCACATGAGCCACAGTCTAAACTCCTCAAAGAGTTTAGACTATGGCTCGTATCATACTTACTATCCAACTGGCACTGAGTGAGGGCAGTACCCAGCCTGGAATCATAAAGTGGGTTTAGGGCTTAGGGGTTAGGCGTTTCGTGCAATAAAGTTGAGATTCTTAGGATGATGGAGATTCAAATGGAAGATAAGACGGAGAAAAAAATGAAAAGAATGTGGATAAGGAAATGGACGCTGGTCTCATATAACGGTATATAGAATCACATAGGGACATCTAGGACTCATGTACGGGTGTATACAGACATATTGGGGATTTATAGGGATACATGGTCTATATCGAGGTGTTTTATATAGTGTTCACAAGGAGATTTAGCGTATTAGCAGATATAGGGAGTTTACAGGGACACATAATATGTAGGAATATTTGGGGATATAAAGTGGCATATAGTAATAACATGTAGGGCTCTTTCGGCACATGTAGACATACGATATATGAAGATATGTAGGGATATAGAAATATCTATATGTATGTATGTCTCTCTATATAGCTGTGTATGCGTGTATAATACTATGCAGGGATGTGAAGATAGATAGAGGCAAATCAGGATTTGTAGGGAGGCATTGGGAGATGTAGGGACGTATAGGGGCCGGTTAAAGAGTTACGGGAGCCAAGAATTGGGTTGGTAATACTGGAAAAATGTAAAGCACGACGTCATTTAGGGTTTAGGATTTAGTGGAGAATAAGGTGGAAAGAACGTGGAGCACGAAATGGAAACAAAGGAGCAACAGGGGTGGAATAAGGATTTACCTTACAGTAACTGATGAAAGGATTGTGCTTGTCCCAAAACCTAAGATTGGGACCTACAGCTATCACATGAGCTATAGTCTAAACTCCTAGTATCCCCCCTTAATAACCCATATAGTAGTCCCCTATATATTCCATTATATAGCCCCCTTTAAGAAGTTTAGACTATAGGACACATGACTGTCATAGGGTTCTCATCTTAGGGGTTGGGGATACCAAAATACTCGAAGCAGTTGCATGGACTCAGGGTCTCTCACTACGTAGTAGTAGTAGTAGTAGTAGTATTTAATATTAAGGGGGGGTGTGGGGGTTTATATTAGGGGGAGGGGATTAAGGACTTGCAATGGTTCAGGCTGATGGCTATTGGTATGGGTTTGAAATCAGCATGTGGGGAGGTTCTGGACAAGATGATAGGGGGGTTATATTATATAGGGTTCCATTCCCCTATCCTCTTCTAGGGTCCTGATGAATTACTCCATGCTACTAGTATGCATTCTTGAAATCTTATGGGTTGGAGACCTCAAGGTGTAGAATGCACTTCAACGCCAAGTCAAGAAACCTTGTCAACAGCGGCTCTAGTGCATGCTCATGTGGCATAGATGCCAGGAGAACTCTTGGGGCGAGAGAGCGAGAGAACCTGTGAAGGAAGGACTCAGTGTCGGTTGGCTTCATTCAGAGGTATGTTGACAACAGGTGAGCCAAAAGTTTGGCTGTTTGTCTACATGTCTCAATGCTCCATACTGTTCCATGATTAACCATCCCATGCCCCAAAAAAGACCGGTTCCGAAGGCCTCGCCGAGAATACCTGCAACACAGTCATTCATCTCTACAGCATTGGGGGGAAAGGAGTGGGAGATGGCATCGCTTGAGTTTCATAGGCAATCTTTTTTTTTACGAAGCATTCTATCCCCACATTATGTAGCTTACATTCTACTTCAGCCACTGCCCGGCATGATGAGTCCTTATCAAGTCCTGGGGCCTCCTTCGGATGTCACGACCCACGGTTGAAGGTTAAGATCTATCCTCAAACAGACCCTGCAATTGGAGTAGGGTTTCAGGTGCGTTGCCTGGCCTCCCTCCCTCCCAGCAACCAAAGAGAAGAGATGAGGCAAGAGGCCTGAGTCAGGAATACTGCCATCTTCCTCAGTAATTAGAAAATCTCCGCCAAGCTCTGAGTATTCCCCAAGATGTACGCACAGAATTTTTATTGCAGAACTGTAAAAGGGGGGTGGGGGGCTGCCTCTCCAGCGCAGAGAAGATGGAGGAATAACTGAAAGGAGAGTCATGGCCGCAATGTGCCCTCTAAAGTCCCAAAGCACTCAATCTTCGAGCTGCGCATTCTAACTCTCATCTGATGTCTCCAGAGCACATGTTTCAGGGCCTTACAGCATGTAGGAGGGAATACCATAGTGCTGACTGACATAAACTTCATGAAACGGGCAAGAAGTCCTGTGTCTGGCGTCAGACACTGCAGTTTAGAATCTATCCCGTCCTCTCTGGAATGTAGAATCAGAGTTCAGGGCTTTGCAGGTTTGAGTGCTGAGGGAGGCTTATGGGATCATGTTCCATTAGAATTCCACTGATACTCTAGGAACACAACCTTGCCGCACCTTACGTTGCACAAATCTTAGCAAGGGGCCCTTGACATGGGACATGATCACTTTGGACGTGATTTTGTATGGCATGCTGGCACACACATGCCCAAAATCTCACCTTGGACGAAGGATTGAGATGCTAGTTTTTGCCCTAGAGTAAAATTGTTTCCACAGGTCACCTTAACAGCACGAGGACCTTCTGGCAGGGTCTGTAGATCTGTGTAGACATGTCAGGAAGCCCTTCACAAGGCCAAGTGTGCCCAATCGTTTTAGGGCTACCGCACTTATACTTTCCATTGCAAGTGCATGTACAAGACAAGACGTCCAGAAACTCCATGCCAACAGTAGAACAAGATGTGCACAATGTCAAAAGACTTCCCCTGTGAACAGGTTGGACTCGTCCAAAATCAACAGCTGACACAACACGTTCCATCTGCATCAGTCTTGGCGCCACAGAGGGTTGCCGAAGGTTGAGAAGCTGAAGCCACGGACAATACGCTCAACTTCTTCTACTCACCTACTCCATCACGTGCGAATTCAAACGCTAGACTTGTTTTCCTCAGTCAAAGGAATGTGTCGTGTATGGCAGCGCATAATGCTTTAAGCTCATTCTACTCACTGAGAAATTCTGTTATCCCCCTAGGCTAGCAATGAACCATATTCTTGAAAAATCCTTGGGGTTATACTCATCGTTCCTAAGAAGACTAGGCCCATGATGAAAATGCTATCGAGACTTCCTTAGGGTCATACTACTACTACTACTACTATAACAGATAAGGAAGATCAAGAACTAAACCCTAAACCCTAAATTATTCCAAAGGAAACGACAGAACTGGCGTCAGCGCCTTGGCGGCGGAGGCGGCTCTCCAACAGGCTTTGCCGTAGACATCGGGGTTGAGAGTCCAGTCCTCGCTACGGCGGATGGCCCCAAAACACCTCTTACCCCAATAATATATAACCCCAACATACTATAGTACTACCCCAAAAATTTACAATCCCAATATACTACAGTAGCTTCCATTTTCTTTTCCATTATCCTAATATAACCCCAATACTTCAATTACCATTGAAAACTGAGGGATGCTCCCGAAAACGCACTTGAAACTGCAATCTGATTGAAAGATATTTGGTGGTTTCCCAAAATTGGGGGTACCTTTTTGGGGGACTATAATATTTTGGGGTCTACATTGGGGTCCCCCTATTTAGGGAAACTACCATTTGTTACGGAAGAGGTTTCGGCATGAATGCGCGCTGGTTACAAAATTTCCGCATGGCAATCTGTAGTTTAATGCGTCGCTTAGTGCTGTGTGCATCTCATGCATGACGTCATCCCATTCAGGGCACCGGCCTCCAGCAGGAGGGGCCGAGGAAATTGCGCGTAGGAACTAAAATAAGATAGGGAACTGAAGTAAGACTATAGCGTAATGCGGACCCGTTCATCTATTCCTTGCCATCCTGCCCTGCAAGGGACCGTACTTCCAGAAATCTAGCCCATGGCCCAATCAGCATCCCGAAGCAGCCAAGTTTTTCCAGCTAGCCAGCGCTTGTAAGCACCTTATTGCAGCCCTTGGTGAGGGTTGCTGGTAGGAGCAAGCATGGCTCAGGGCGTGCACGAATTGATGCTAAATGCTGAACTTTGCCCTAACCAATGTTTTCCTGACAGGAAATCTTAAAATCCCGAAATGCCGGTTCAACAAAGCGCGAGGACAAGTAGAGAAGGTCCGGGCATGTCAAACGTTGCTTAAATGGGCAACGCGTTTTGCATAACGCGCTTGCCATATCTTTGACAAGATACTGTGCACGTCTGCTTCAGCCTTTGCTAGCAATGATGGGCGCAATGATGGATCTGTCCTCAGTTTCAGACACGGTTAAGGCTTAAGATTTAGAGCAAGTTATGTCCAGGCATCTAAGTAGCATCACTTTCAACTTAGGACTTTGGTATTCAGTGACATTTTGGCATTTAACTATGCAGAGAAAGGGAAAGCTCAAGACAACCTATGATACTGGAAGCCCAGTGGATGGAAGTCCAAGCTGCCTGTCTTCTCAGTGCCTGGAGCGCGGAGCGTAAGCCCTGCAGTGCTGCGCTAGTACCACATCTGGTGGTGAAGCTGCGGTTCAGGTGGCCTGTAGTACAGCGCTGGGTGGGGGGGATGTTTGTGGTGGTACTGGTGCTGGTGGAAAGCATGGCCGTGCGGGGGTGGGGCCCCATAGGGCATGGTATGGCTGTGGGCAGGTCCCCATGCTGGTGGCGGCCACTGCCATGGCGTCGGCCAATGTTGATGGCTGGTCATCGTCCACTGATTCCTGACAGAAAACCAGACAAGTATAGAATAATAATCTACACCTAGAATCAAGCAGGGTGTTTCTGTCAACAGGAAACCTACCGACTCTGCACACAAGTAGTCATGATCATATGGAGTCACACGCGGCGTTATCTCAACGTGACCTAATACGATCACAAGCAAGGGCTTTCAAACCATCTTGTCATCCCCATATATCCAGGGGTTCCTGGGGCCCGCCATTTTGAGAAATTGCCGCGAGACTTCCAGCACGGCCGGGGTCCCAAAGAATGCACTAGTTTGGATTTCGAACTTTAGTCTTCGGGAGTGATCACCTACGTAAGAACTTTTTGAGTTTGTTGTGGCAAAAGGTTATAGGCATAGCACACTACCACCCAAAGCTGTGCTTCCTAGGAGCCCGAAGGTAAAGTTAAACTTAACATACGGGGCATAAGGGTGACCCCTGCATATGAGCTACTGTCTAAACTCCTAGTATCCCCCTTAATAACCCCTATAGTAATCCCCTATATATACCCCCTTAAGGAGTTTAGACTATAGCTCATATGGAGGCAAGGCCTCCCCTTGTGACGTGCCCCATAACCCCATGATTCATCGCTGAGCGTCTGGTACCCTCCAGCATAATCTTCTGCGCAGGGCTTGATGGAAATGATGTTCTTGGCCGGCTCTCTTTGAGCGATGACCTGGGCTTTGCCATTGCTGCTGGGATTTAAACACCATCACGACCACCACCGCTGCCGCCGCCACACCACTACCAGCAACACTACTGCGACAATGGCATCTAGATCTACATCTACTACGACTATCGCCGCTGCTGCTGCTACTCCTCCTCCTCCCCCTCCTCCTCCAAAAGCAGGAATCCCTCCTGGAGGCCCCTAGAGCGGTCACCAAGTATAACAGAGACCTCACTATCTTTGGAGCTCGCCATGCATCGGCAGCTTTTATTTCAGAGACTGGAGAGCCGCCAAGACAATTCCATTGACCGCCAAGCCATCTTTGAAGTCTGATGTAACCCTTGCAGAACCCCCCCTTTCATGGAGTCTTGACCTATAGAGCCCCCGTGCAATTCTGGCAAGAGCGACCCCCTTTTTAAATTGTAATCCGTGTATGCCCACATCATCCTAACACTAGCCCTGCGGTGAGAAACCACCCAGCACTCCGAGCAACTTTGACCCTAAACCCAAAAAGCCGAGCACTGCACCAAATAATGGAACGGCTGCCGGTCCCTCACATTGGAGGTCCTCATTTATACTCAGATTTGGGATGTTTGGTTGATGGAGATTTCATAGATGGTAAACGGAATACCAACTTAGCCAGAAAATGGGTCAACAAGAAGGCAGATCAAAAAACCTTGAGCTTTACATGTCTGGATCGGAGAAGCAAATATGCTCAGATGATGCGGAAACCTGCCTCGAACATTTGAGCAAATTTACTTCTCAAGTGGTTTGCCTACAAGTTATCAGGCCAAAAGGGTTGATGTAGTGGGTTGGCTTCTAGTCGACCAAAACACATCTACGCCAATCAAGATCTGGTCTCTCTCCCTGTCTGCGTGCTGACGATGGCTTCGCAAAGCAACTTGCAGATCAAACGTAGCCCAGCACTTTCCCAAGACAAAAACGTCCGCAAACCCGACCGGGGAATGGTGAATTCCAAACGGGGAATTCAACACAGAAAAGCAGCTTGATCATAAACACATCTTATAAGGTCCACGACATTCTTGCTATGTACGTAATATGATTCCGGCTCTGACTTGAAACCTTTCTCTCCCCTCCTATGCAGCTTAAGGCCGAGCTTCAGGGGAGCCGTCACCGTGAATCCATGGTAGAGGCGGTTCTTCAGTGCTGCTGAAACCAGCATGCCTGCTTTGCAGGGATTGTGCTCGAATTGTGGGTATCTTGACAGATTTCGGACCCTCAAAACCCATGACACTTACGATCCCCGTTTGAGGCCCACTAAAAGAACTGCAGTAATGTTGAGAACCCTGCCAAAGGATTTGGAATCAAATTTGATATCTAATCCAAAACCCCCGTATCCCCCTTAATTAGCCCTGTAATACTCCCCTGTATAATCCCCTAAATAACCTCCTCGAAAGACTTCAGACTATAGCTCAAAAGGATTTGGCAGAAGTCTCAATCAACTCCTCCTGCACGCCTTGCGCTCGCGCCACCTGCTGTACCTCCAGGGACTCCTCCCAAGTAGAGACGATAGGGTTGAGGGTTTAAGGTCTAGGCGGGTATCATGGAAGCCCAGACCCTAAACACCAAACACTAAATCCTCAAGAATATCAAGACTAGTGTGTAGGGTTAGGTACAAGTTAGCAAGCTAAGGCTTGGAAATCCTGGCAATAATATTTTTAGGGAAAAAGTGCGAAACAAATCCAGGACAAGTGCAAAAAACAATGCCAAAAACAACTAGGAAAAACAACAAACAAAAAAGCCAAACACAGAACCAACAGTCCAGAAAAACATGCAAAACCAAATAGGGGAAAAAGGAAAATAGAAAAAAGGAAGCAGCAAATTGAAAAGGAGAAAAAAGAAATACAACAGGAACAAAAATAGGAATAACGAAAGAAAAAAAGAAGAAACAAGCAAGAAAAAAGGAAGAAACAAGCAAGAAAAAAGGAAAATCATCGAACAACTACACAATTTTCTCGATTTTTGAAAGAACAATTCAATGCTCCTCATTTCCTAATGTTTTCTATTTTCTCCTAATTTTAGAAGCAAAAAAAAGGAGAAAAAAAGAAAAACAAGATAAATAAGTGAGAAATCAAGGAGAATAAAAGGAGAACACCAGGAGAAATAAAGAAGAAACAGAGAAAAAACGGAGAACAAGGAAAAATCATAAAGGAGAATAACATGATAAACAAAAATGAGAAAATGAAAAAAACAAAAAAAAACAATGAGAAATGAAGAAGACGTAAAACAGATAAAAAGAAGGAGAGGAAAAAAGGAGACAAAAGGAAAATCATCGGAAAGTTGTCTTTTTCTGCTTATGGTTGCCTTTTTGTGCTGTGGTTCCCTTACTGTGGCCTGTTGATGCCTTTTGGTTTGGTTGTCCTTTGTTGTTGCGTTTTGTTTTTCTCCTTCTTCTTTTTCGTTTTTTTGCTGTATGTTTTTGCTTTGTGTATCCAACTTTTTTTGCTTTTTGTATCCAATTGTTTTCGCATTTTTTGCATTTTCTGAAAAATGGTTTGCACTTGTTCTGCATTTGTTCTGCTTTTGTGTTTGTCTCTGTTTTCCTGGTTATTTCTAATTTGAATATTTTTAGGATTCCCAAGCCTTAGCTGCTAATTTGTACATAAGTGTAGGGTGGAGGGCAGGGGGAATATGTAGTGACCGTGTAAGGACTTACGGCTCATGCGGGAGCTGTTTTAAGCAACTCCCTTGAGAATGATGACTACCTGCACACCCTACTTGCATACTTAGCTGAATGATGGCACACTCTGCTAGGAATTCAAGGTAAGGCTGATGGTCGTTGCAATGAACGCCTAAACCCTAAACCCTAAAGCCTAAGCCTGAGGGTTCAAGGCTTCGGATCTAGGAATGCTGGGAACTTGGTCTTCGTCATGACAAGTGTTCTACGGAAAAAACAACAGCTAAGTGTTTCTCAAGAGCTATGGTTTAGGGTTGAGGGGTTTAGTGTCTAAGGGTTGGCTTTTACGTTTGGGGTTCTCCCGAAGAGGGATTACAGTCAATGATTTGTCTTGAAACGGGTTAGTTTAGACATCATATTCGGAGTACTACTGAAAATTCGCAATAATAACAAAACTACCAAACTATGACTTCACTTTGTTGGAGAGGCCCGGAGCAAAAACGTAATAAAGGCTACTAAAATAGCATCGGCAGGACCAGGCTGATAGGATAACCATCGAGAGAGCAAAAACACGATTAGTACTATTATTCGTATTGCTATTATTTCTGCTCTGACTATTACTGATATTATTACTGTTCTTACGGATTGATTTTATTGGAGATCTCAGTGAAGATATCGCTTGATGAGGATGTAGATGAGTCGCCATGATTGACTGGGTAATTTAGAATTAATTTAAGGCCAATTTTGGTACTTCCCTATATAAGCCACCATTTAGGATGAGGTCGGGTTAGGTCGTTTTAAACTGCTCAGGATTGAGGTTGTGACGTGGAGAGCTCAGAGCGTCACCCCACGCCCCAATGCAAAAGCTCAATCCCAATGCGTGCAGTAGGCCAACCCATAGAACTACATCAGCCTCACAGCGGATTCTTGTAGGGTTGGGGGGTTCAGGGGTCTAGGGTTTAGGGTTCAGGGGTCGAGGGTTCAGGGGGATACTAGGAGTTTAGACTTTAGCACACATTTCCACAGGCCTAGAATTTATAGCTCTAAACCCTACACCCTGAACCCTAGGGCCCTTGCGTTGGTGGTTGGGATTACCAAATGCAGATTTCCTAAAACTAGGGGCCGCTTCTGGGAATCCCTATGCTTATAGTGATTATAGTATCCTGGGCTCACTTTGAGGCCCTGTTGCCTGGACCCCCCCCCAAATAGCCGGCAATCACCACGATTGACATTAATCCGTGCACCGGCTGTAGAAAGCAACTGCTCCTCCAACCAAAGGTTCGCCGCAATGACCAAAGGCGCACCTTGGATGTTGTTGACACGGCACTGGGGCCCTCAGAGAAAAACACCCTTCATTGACGCTTCATGACTTTCGAGCAAGATTGTTGTGCTTGCAGGTGGTCTGGTTTCGCAAGCTCCGCATGTTCGGTGATGCTGCTCGTGATAAGGTTGCAATTGCTGCCCTTCTTTGCTGTGGTTGGCGCTCATTTTGCATTACGCTCAAAGCGTTGCTGCTACATGCTGAGCTTTGACAAGACTTGCTGGAGATTTGGACATGGGAACGAGAGGGTTTAGGGGGTGAGATCAAGATGAATTGCGCTTTGGGAGATTTGACCTTGGGGTGCAGCGATTTCAACCCAACTCCGGGGTTGTAGGTCTCTGTCTGGAGTGAACATCTACTTCAAAGAGCTCGTTGGGCGTCTATGCATCGAACAACTGTAGAAGCCTGAATAGTTAATTACCAACATTGTTTTAGGACTTGTGGTACCCTACACACACCATAAATATACAAGGAATCTAGGGCCATGATACTGCTAACTATTTAGGCCCCTACATTGAATCCCTATCATAAGCCTGTTTCCGTTTGATTTTTCCAGAAATGCTCCATTTATCCCTGTATTAGTTCTTGGTCACGATGGAGGTCGGCTGTGAGAGGAATTTCCTCCTCACTCCATATGATGGCTACAAGTGTTCTGGTCCTGTAGAACTCTCAACTCCAAACGCCAAACCAAGAAATCCTCCAACCCCGAAATGCTGAATGCTGGCGACCTCCCACTAACATGAAACCAAGAAAAAGCTCCTCCACAAATACTCCTGGGCTGAGACACTGTTCACCGCATTCTGCAAGATGTGCTGCCACATGTAGTAATGCCCCTGGCACACCCCCGAGTATGTCAGGTGAATGGTTCGGGAACTTGGACAGCAAGTGATGCCCGGGCCGAATTTTTCAAAAATAACTGTACAAGTCCAAAAGGACGGCATAGCACATCTGTGGCGAGCTGTGTCAGGAATCCACAGGGTGCCTGCAGACATAAGCCTCAAACACATGGACACAAACTTGTTTCCTGGTCCCGACTTACCTGCGTCACTGGGTATGCCATCTGCTTCCGGGTGATTTTATTTGGGCTCCAACATGTTTTGACCAATTATCTGTGAATAACCGCATTTTTGTTACTATACTTACTGCTCTAGTGCTAAAACTACTATTCTTAATACTGTTCTGATTACTAGTACTATTCCCTAGGATACCTAATGTTAGTACTGTCATTGTGAAATGCGGTTTAGGTTTGGGGTTGAGGGGGTTTAAGGTTTACTAATGTTCCGACTATTCGCAGTGTTATTTACATTGGTATTGTTTCATACCCCGGTAACAGAGTCTGACTGGCTAAGTCCAACATCATGAGCCCGCGTGGATCATCACCCTCCAAATTTCAGACTCCTGTAACCTAAGGGAACAAGGCTGTGAAACCGGGGGTGTACGGATCATAGTCACTTGCATAGGCACTACTTAGGTACTAAGATGGTTTTGTTTAACCCACCATCCAATATTAGGACCCTCTGACTACCATTTGACATCCTCTTCTTACCGTACTCTACACACACTGCAGTACCTTCAGGACCTGGCAGCCTTGTGCCGTTGGACGCTCTGTCAAGACTAGGAAGTTCAGAGCTACTGTAGGCTGCAATGCCGGGATTCCGGTACAGAAGGTGCTCAGGAACTGGAACTTTTCCACATCTATAATCCCCCTTAAGTAGATAGAAAATGGCTGTGGGTATATTATGATAAGATCCCCATGATTATATTATGATAAGATCCCCATATACCCCATAGTCTATCTGGTTAAGGGGGACTATATCTCAACAAGCTCTGAACCAAAAAACCCCGGACCCTAAGACCTAAGCCCCTAACCCCCAGGTCCATGACTTGCAGCCTCTAAAGCCCTAAGCCCCTTAACTTGAAAGCCCCATAGTCCCATCACTTAATAGATTTACTAAGCCTATAAGCCCTGTAAACCACTGAAAATCGCACGTGGCATGGTCTTTTCCATCCGACTCTCCAAATTCTGGGAATAGTATCCCGAAATCCTAAACCCCACACCCCCATATAGCCCCTACAAAGCCCCTATATAATCCAGAACTATAAACTCACAAGCCTAAAACACCTAGTATCCTCCTCAATAAAGCCCTATAATACTCCCCTATGTAATCCCCTATATAACCACCCTTCAAGGCGTTCAGACCCTAAACCCTCAACCCAATTATGGTAGTTTCCATTTTCTTTTCCATTCCCCCAATATATCCCAAAAAACAAGTGCTTTGATAGAAGCCCTTTGAAAACGCCTGAATACTCCCTGTATTATCCACCCCCAAACCCTAAACCCCTACACCCCATATACTCCCATCGAAGCCCTTTTAAAGCCCCCAACCCAAGTCAACGCGTCAGCTCCACCTGGTAGGCGCCCCAGAAGCTCGTTAAATAGGAGGAGCTGCAGTCAGGATGCATAGCCTGAATATAAGGGTTAGGGTTTAGGGTATAGGATTCAGGGTTTAGGGTCTTTAGGATTTAGAGTATACGGTCTAGGGTTGGCTGTAGGGTTCGCGGATTATGTGGGTTTAGGGCGTAGGGTTTAGTTGCCTAAATGGTTGACATGGGAGTCACGGGTGTTCTGGGGTGCTTCACTGGTGGTATAAAAGCATCACAAAGGGATGATGAATCTTCCCTTGTTGTTGGCTTCCAGATTCCTGTTCAATCTCAATGTACCCCGGCATAATTTATATGATGTCCCCCTACACCCTAAACCCCCCCCAAAACCTCTGCAATGCATGATGGCCTTTAAACGGCTCAGGCTGTAAGGTTTGCGGTCGGTGTATGTTTGTTGGTTTTAACGGACATGAGATAAGACTTTTGGCATTGCGGTTTTGGAGTTTAAGATTTCAGGGTTTCAGCTTGGTTTTGTGTTCAGGGCTGAGCTTAGGGTTTCGGAGTTTCAGGATTAGAATTTAGGATTTGGGGTCAGTTTGAAGTTTGGCCTTGGCATTCACACGTGCAAAAGGGCAGATAACACAGCACATGGGTTCACACTGGGATTGCACTTGTTCCAGATCAGCAGGGGCAGTGCTTTGAGAATTGGAGTCTCGCCTTTAGGGTAAAGAGTTTAGGGTTTGGAATTTACTGTTTAGGGTTGAGGTGGCATGTAGGACATGCACAGATACCGGCCATACTTATTTGGAGGCTTCTGCTGGAAGCTATCATTTGAAGATCATGTGACATCTTGGGGATGTAAAGGAGGAATTTTGAGATGAGGGCGGCAGCTGAAGACTGACCCCATTCCAGTCAAAATGCGTATCAATTTCAGTGGGCAATGGTCTTGTCAAGGTTTGGCCGGAGATCAAACCCGCAAGCGCCCAAATGAACGCCCCCCCCTTCGGAAAGCCAGGCCCAGCACATGCAATGCATGGGCTCGTCCAGTCATCCGACCACAGTTGGATAATATGTATAATATAGTTATATATAGCCCTTAATAGGACCCCTAGTATAGACTGTTACTGGGTGGGGGCAGTACCCAAGATTTAGGCACTGAACCCTTCACAGAGCAACAATGCTACAGGGTACGACGGATTTAAACAGTATGAACCTAAAGATGGACCAAGATCAAAAGGTATCACCTGTTTGGTTTTGTGACCCCCAAACAACTAAGGCTATCCACTGGGCGCATTCATGAAGCTTGCCGCCTAGATCCTCATTGGAGCTAGTAGTCCGCATTACCTATCGCCCTGAAATTGCCTAATTACAGGGCAGAGAGGTGTTAACCCTCCTCGTAAGCTGAAACCTGGGTTTCTCAACAGCAGAGGCTATGAAACGACTCTGGGGGCCCTTATTCGGCTACGGCAATTCTCGTCTGAAATTCCCGAAAAACGCCTTTGCGCTTCATGATCGCCTTGGATCTGCACCAAAACGTTGAACGTTCACGGGTGGTTGTGAGCATGGGGTCTTTAGTCTCCAATAACTAACAACCCCACTCCTAGCTACTAATGAATGTACAAGTACTACGGTCTGAGATAAAAGACTGGCCAAGATACTAGCACGACATCGGCTGATGGCAGTGGCGCGCGGCCGTCTTGCACCTCCACTTCATGCGGGACTCATGCCACATGGCTGGAGATTGGACAGAGGACCCACTGCAAACTACTGCAAAGGCCCGGAAAACACAATGGCCCATACAACGCTCTAGATAGGCATGTTACGAAACATCATTGCTATCTACAATGGTCGTAGCCATAAGAGAAAATAGGATGTTGCCTGCTTATCGCTCGAGTTTGGACCTATCAAGGACCAGCAGGTTTGGCCCCCTCCTCTCGCACCATGCCCTCCTCAACAAACCCGACCGCAAAACATCAGCACTTAGGCCTTGATAGCCAGAATAGATCTTTTGAGGTCGCCGTAGGCGTTTAGGGTTAAGGGACACCTTTACCCAATCAAGATTAAATAATGAAGGGATGCTATTCTCCCTGATTGCTCCCCTTCCCCACCGTGTACTGGATCAAGATCTTGGGATCGCCACTCTGCAAGGCCCCATAGTGGCCTGTGCCTCGGGGCAGACAATCCCCATTCCCGAAGTAAAGTCCTAATATAACCCCAATATTACCCCAATATAGCCCCAATATAACCCTGATATAACCCCAAAGTAGTGAAGCCCCCCCAAGAAAAAGTTCACAGCGTGGAGCCAGTATGCATTAGGGAATATCTAGTTTGATAGGTTCTTCTACGAGCGCCATACTGCTACTGACATGTTGTTGTTTTTTTTTGTTGGTGGGGGGTGGTGTGTGGCTATTCATGTCATTTCGGCCCCGCATTTGACAGCCAAACATTTCCATGTAAGGCAAGGCGCGATATGTAGACTAAGGGTTGAGGGTTTGGGTTTTAGGGTTTGGGGCTTTAAGGGTTAGGCACTATGACAGATTGCACTCTTGGAGTTTCCAGAAATAGGGTGCCCAAACCCTAAACCCTTATACTGCACATCCTCAGTCACTGTAGATATCTGTAGCTACAGGAAACTCTCAACACCGGGCAAGTCACTTTAGAAATCCTCAATTATTGGTCCCTTCAGAATCCCGATATAACCCCTCTCTAGTCACGACTTCTAACCCCCCCCCCCACAGGGGATGCAAAGCCTTTTCTCCGAACTCCATAGGAACCTTTTCACGCTACACTCCCTGGCCCAATAAACAATCCAGTTGCTGAGATCCCCTGGCCAAAGCAAGTCTACAGCTTTGTTATACAAGAGTCAGAAGAACCGAAGAAAGTGTATCCACCCAAAGTACTAAAGTACTAAGGTAAGGATGATGAACACGCTACGTAGAGCAAACAAATCGCCAAAATGTGCTCTGAGTTGCTCTTGTAGAAATCAAGCACATCAGTCACCTCGGATGTTTAGGGTTTAGGGCTTGAGGGTTTACAGGTAAAGGGGGGAATGTACACGAGTCACATCAAGTTTAGGGCTTGGGGTTGAGGATGGAGTGTTTGGGTGGCCCATCGTCCGAAAAAATGCCGTGGAGATAGGCCGGGAGGATTTCTCCGAAGGGGGGTCTGTTCCTGCTTACGTCCAACTACTTGATGCCAGCTTGCGCAAGAACATGAGCCTGCTGTCTCAAACTGGGTTGCTGTTACGGAAGTAAAGCTAAGCTACCATAACATGGAGATATAGTATCTGGATATACTACATGATACCATGTCCTAACTAACAATGGTTCCTTTGTTGAAGCTCATTAACGACAACCCGGCTAATGGCACACGCCGAACAACTGCAGGCGGATTAGTCTGAAGTTGTAAGGCTCCAGTGTGTGACGTATGGACTTCCTGGGTTACTACTTTTATAAACTAAAGTACTATAATGAGGAGACCTTATTTTTCAACATGTCCATATTCTGGCAATTTATTTGAGCTCAACCCACCTTAGAGAGATGACCCCACTAGAAGGTTGGAGAGGGGTATTAGGGGAGTCCGCATCAGGATCTTTAGGCTTTATGAGTATCATATACTCCTTAGCAATGGCAAATCAAATGGACAAGAACATGAACAATGAAAGGGAAATCGGGCATATTGAGGGGCTTATCGTGTGTAGTTAAAGGCGTTGAAATTTGGGGTCTCCAGAAGTACGGGCCGAACATAGAAACCGTATACGGTACAGACCTTCTTATGGGACTCCCACCTAATTTTGGACATCTCCGTAACACTACGTAATTTGATCAAGATTCTTGAGCATCTCTGCGCAAAACCCTGGAAAACATTGGCTTGGATCCAGTGACTACTTCTCCATAAGCCAGACAACACGAATGTATGGCCAAGTGGCAAAAAGCGAAATCTCGCGGATGTCCGTGCGCTTGTTGAGAACCTCTGGTCGAGAAATACTGGCTTGCTGTCAAGGCTTAAATGAGGCTACCATATTCACTATATACCATATATCATGGTAACTTAATTTAAATTCCTTTACGGCAACCCAGAATAGCAAACCCATCAAAAGGGGGAGTGGGCCCCTATCATAATCCCTATATAATTCGCATATAAACCCCCATATGTAAGAGTACCTATATTCATGAGGGTAACCTGTCCTTTCTGTAGGATTTAGGTTGATGCCATGAAGCTAGAATACATCTGGTGGTTTCCCAAAATTGAGGAACTCCAATAGAGACCCCGAAATATTTTAATCCTTGTTATAGAGATCGCAATAGGGGTACTCCTCATTTTGGGAAACCCGAAATTACACAAGAGAACTCTCTTACAGTCAAGCTATAAAGTAGTTTTCCAAAATTGGAGGACCCCGCTATTGACCCCAAAATCTTATAATCCTTATGGCCACCCCAAAACCCTAAACCCTAAACCCCTCCAAGAAGGTAGCCCTAATTTTTGGGAAGCCCTTCATAGCCCCTCACCTTGAGGTGTCTCAAAGCTCTTTGCCATTTCGGGGTCTCCTTCTTGGGGCCGGCATAGGGCTTAGGGTTTATGTAGGCTGCAGGCTGACAGGGCTTAGGGTTCGGCTTTAGGGTTCAGGGCTTAGGGTTCGGCTTGAGGGTTCAGGGCTCTGGGTTTAGGGTTTAGGCTTTAGGGTTCAGGGTTTAGGGTTACGCTCTCCATTGATACAATCATGTCTGTTTCCTAAGGCAGCAACCTGCGAAGCTCCTACAGTATGCGCTTGTTACCTGACCTGGGGTGCCTGGAGCACATGCATTCCCCTATTCCCTACTAAAAACGAGAAAGATAACAAGAGAATTGGTAATGAACACCTTCCGCTAGTGTTTTTACGCGGTGACCTATCAATATTAGCAACAGTACAAAGGCAACATCATGCGATGACTGCAAAACACAAGCAAGCCCTGACCAATCTGATCTGGATCCTTCCGAGTTCGCTTATGGCCCGGATCTGAACACAACCTGTCAGACACTACACATGCGTGGCACTGACTTGTGCATCTATCTGCCTCTTCACGCAAAAAGTGCACCAGCTGCTCTCGCTCGGCAAAGCGACCAGCGAAAGGTACATTGATGCGCCTGAAGTATGATTGCGGACTTCCATCGCTTGGGTCACGGCATTTGGGGCCACATGGAAGTTGCTCGACATGATCCTTGCATAATTTCTGAGGGAAACCCCTGTAAACTCCTCCCCGTGTATCCCTAGCGTTTCTTTGGCTACCCGCTCGTGAGAGAACGCCACAGCAAGAAAGTTACAAGGCCACCTGAACCAGTCTCTCCTGTTCAAGCAACTGCGAGCACAGCACAGTGTACCACTCCCTCCCCTAAGGATAAGCACCCCAGTGTGATACCAGTACATGGACAGGAGGAGTACTTATTGTCAGCAAGGTGTGAAGGCTAATGGCTGTTCCTTCACTATACCGTACCCTTCAAACTGAAAGTTGTTGAGAAACCTTCTGCAACAGTAGACGCAAGAACCTCTGAGGCATCCATTGGAAAAGAGACAATCTTCTCCAACAGCTTTAATGCAGTTCCCTTATAACCTTTGATAAGAACCTTAATATTAGGACTATTTTCTTGGGGGAGGGGTGTCCCGCTTAAGCGAGGAGGTGATGGTTCGTAGCAACCCTCATGCATTGTTCGCGCTTTCTTGGTCCTCTGCGAATTCCTGCTCCCACTGTCCATAGCTTTTCCAGCTTTGCCGCGTGACTATGCTGACAATCCATGGTTAATACGATGTCACGTTAGCTTCAGCCCGGGACTGCGAAAGCGAGACTCTCGATCCAACAGGTGGCTTGCTTTTTTCCCCTTCTTGGGACACACCGGATAACGAAGCAACATGGGTAATTATTCAGGCTTAACCCTAAACCTTTCTGAATGTTACCTCCTCAGGACCCAAGGTTCTTCCCATTGAGAGTTAGGATCCAAACCGTTCTTGCACACTACTCTGTATACCATGTTTCAGGGTCAAGGCTTTAGTGACTCTAGTAAGGCTCTTCTTTGTAGCATCGTACACCCCATACCCTAAACCCTGCAACCCTAAACCCTAAAACCCTAACCCCTGATATTCTAACTCCTAAAATCCTAAAACCCTAACCCCTAATATCCTAAAAACCCTAACCGCAACTCTCAGGGGTTTAAAGAGACGAGTTTCAGCCGCCCCGTGGTGTCAGGCATGGCTGCGCCAAAAACATCCTTCACAAGCATTTAGGGGGTTAGGGGCTAGGGGGTTAGGGTTTAGGGGCTGGGGGTTAGGGGGTTAGGGGCTAGGGTGTTAGGGTTTAGGTTGTTAGGGGCTAGGGGGTTAGGGTTGTGGTATTTCGGGAAGGTAGCCAAAGAACATAAACATGAATATTGGGGATTGTATTGGGGATTATATGGTAGTTTTCCAACATGAAGGTACCCAATTCTTTTTTTGGCAACCACCAAAAAGGTTCCCCTAACTTTGGGAACTTTGGAAAACCCCTTTTCTAGGGCAGAAAAAGTTAAAAAGAACACAAGCAAATTTATGCTAGCTTTTTGGGCTACACCCTCGCTTGTACAGCATGGAACAGTGGGACCAGCTGA